GAGAGAATTAATATGGCTGTAAATATATTTAAAGAAACGGCTGATAAAGGAAATCCCTCTGCACAATTGAGATATGGTATATGTTTATGGAAAGGTGAAGGTATTGCTGCAAATTCTTTGGAAGCTTCTAGATATTTAAAAAATGCAGCTAGTTCAGGAAATTCTACCGCTATGTTTATTATTGGAAAGGCTTATTGGAATGGTGGTAATGGTATTAAACAAGATAGGGAACAAGGGGCGAGATATTTACGAGAAGCTGTTAGGCATGATCATCCTAAGGCTTCAGAAATGTGTGCTAAATATAATATTATGATTTAATTATTATGCATCATATTTTTGTATTTATACTTTTTATTAAATATAACGTTAATATACGAGAAATAATAAAATATAATAGATTTAGATTTCCGAGGATTTGGAAATCATGTAATTTTCTTTATAATAAATATGCTAACGAAACATTAGATTTAAAAGAAAATGATGATTGAATGCTAAAGATTTTTTCATGTATACGAACTATAATTAAAAAGTTCTTGTAGGCAAATTTAAATTTATTATTTTCCGATTGATTGACATGTTTTAGAAAAGAGATCCGTCAAAAAGTTATTGATGTTATCTTTCCACGTGATCTTATATAATTTGTTCCGTGCCACGCCCACTATTTTTTACTGTGTATTCAGGTACTATTTCAGTCTTTATTTGTCACTAGAATAATCTCGGCAAAGTTCAGTAATGCCGGCCACAAAGTCACGTGGAGGTAAATTTAATTGGATGTTTATTCGTAAGTTGATTTAATAGCAAATCTTTTTCTTCATTCATTTTTCAGTGTCATGAATAAATATAATTAATTAGGTTTGTAATGTCTTATTAAATAGTTAAATTTTTATAATTATATATACGTTAAATTTTACTCATAACAAAATTTATTAAATTCTAGTTAAGATACCGCTGTCGTGACTGAAACACGAGGATATCTGAAATAAATTGGGATTTCTGAAATTGAACTTCAGATAGAATCTGAATTTCAGATAATAAGCGTCTGAAATTAGATATCAGAAATGGTACTTAAGAGAATCTGAATTTTAGATAATTATGTATTTATAAATTAAAATTAAAGAAATATGAGGTACCTATCATCTACATAAGTTATTTTAAAGTTCGTCTCTCAGCTTCAAAATAGAATAATTACACATGCTCGTATTCCTTTCCTGCAGTTACAAAAGAATTAAAATAGAAAACAAACGTGTTTTTTAATCGAATTGGCGGTGATAAATAGCCAATTCCGTCTGTGATAAAAGATAATTCTGCAAAATTCTGCGGTTTGGCCAGAATTACATAAAATCGGGTGGCATTATGATTCACCAATCCCCTGGCCAAAATAGTGTCGGCCGGCATTATTATGGTTGCGCGTTCTAATCTAGGCCAAAAATTTAGAAATTATCACCATTTTTATATGCCTATTCCGTGATTTTCTGCAAAATTCCGTGAATGCAGAAAATAATCGTCCCTGGTTCGAAGTTTTAAAAAAAAAGATAAAAATGAAAATGAAAAAAATAAATAAAAAAAAAATTTATTTAACTGATGTAGCACCCGATGTGATCGAAAATCTGGACGAAATTAAAAAGAAATATAAAATAAAACAAAAAAAAACTTATTTAAATGACGCGATCGACAACCTGAAACAAATAAAATTAAAAACAAAAAGAATAAATAAAAAAGAAAATTAATATGCAATCGATGCAACAATAAAATATTAGAAAATAAAAATAAACAAAGCTCACTTTCGTTCAATTTTACAAACAGTAAGTCAAAAAAAACCCCGCGAAATTTCTTGATATTTCGTGATTGGTTAAATAATTTTTTTTTTATGTCATTCAATTCCAAAATTTCAATGTAACTAAACAAATAACAAATAAGGTTATGTGGCGTTTGGGTAAACTATTATAAAGAATACAAATTTCTTACATTGTAATTCTAGAATTATTTGTCCAGTAATTAATTTATAAAAAACATATAATGCTTAAAAATATAAAATGTTCATATTGCGACAAGGAACTTATTGAAAAACGATGTAAAGAATGCGATTCTCAATATCGAATAAGCGAAGGATGGACCAGTGGAGATGTTCGTATTGACACATTTATCAAAGATACTATGTATGAAACAAGGAATAGCGGTAGATGGCTTGAATGGATATCATTTGATAGATTTACTAACATAGAATTATACGAAGATGGCTTTGATAAAGTTTATGTGGCGGTATGGTTGGATAGTAGAGATAATTATCTTGAGAAAAATGGAATTTTGAAAAATGAATCGCAACCTGTAAAAGTTTTCTTGAAACAATTTAATTTATCAGCTGATTGTTTAAATGAGGTATAGGTTTTTATTTTGATATCTAATTTAGGTCGTTTAAATTTATAGTTTAGCGAGTTGCATCTGTTTGCTGCGGGTTCTAGTAATTCGTTATAGACTCTTTATTAATTGATGTGAATTTTATTTAATATTAATATCTTGCTTAAATTATAGATTAAAAACCATTGGGAATTCTCTAACATAAAAGTTGCTATTTCATCAAAGTTTTATGGAATGTCTAAACATCCAGAAACTCAAGAATTTATAATGGTCACACACTATGGAAATCAAAAATCTTTGCGGACTTTACTTGAAAATGATAAAAAGTTATTATGGAAACAAAAAATTGAAATATTACGTGATACTTCATTTAAACTCAGGAACTTACATGATTTAGGATATAGTCATAATAATTTCCATTATGGAAGTATAATGCTAGATGATGATTCAAAAATTTATATTACTAATTTTAAACTAACTCAATCAATTAAACAGCAAATTGCACCAAATAACAAAGTTTTGGAATTAATGCCATATATTGCCCCTGAAATTATAAAGGGAGAATCATATTCTTTAGCTTCAGATATCTATAACTTTGGTATAGTTATGATTGAATTTTCGACTGGAAAATGTCTATTTGAAAACAAGGGTAGACCAGAATTTGGAAAAGGAACTCCCAAAATTTATAAGGATTTTGTTAATCAATGTATAAATGCTAATCCAGACCAAAGGCCTACAGCAAAGAATTTATATAAGAAATTTAAAGTTTGGTATAATTGTATTATAGGTCTTCCAGAATATAAAGATTGTGGAGAAACGGTAAAATCAGCATTTAGTAAAGCAGGTAAAGAAATATAGCAAATGATGACAAATTAAAAACTTTTAAAATATTCTACAACAAAATCTCATTCTCATTTATTAGATAATTATAATGACGAAGACGTTAAAGGTAACTTTATCATTTAATTTAAGATCTCATTTTTCACATATTACGGTCATATGATTTATTATATCACGTGCCTTGATTTTACTGGAGACATAAAACGTATCGTTGTTTGGTTATCTGACTTTTTAAATTAATATTCAATACTTTATTATTATAAGTAAGTCATCAGTTATATTTAAAATGTTATATACTGTATACTTTATTTAATCATACTAATATTTTATATTAGATTTTTAAAATAATAATAGAAGATTCAGGTATAAAACTTATCATAAATATCATAATTTATTTAAATTTTTCTTGATAAAATATAAATCTTTATTCTAGAGGTTAAATTATTATCTGATTGGTTTGAAAAATGCATTGATGTCAAAGAAATTACTTTATATAATCATATGGATTTTAAAAATGAATCTGAAGTTGGTTCTGGAGCAACCGCTTCAGTTTTTACTGTAAATTGGAAAAATTCAGTATTTGCAATTAAAAAATTTAACAAATTTTTAAGTATGAAAGAAATTACTAATGAGGTATGCTATAAAAACGTTTAACATTGACTTTTAATAATTAATATTCTTAAAATTACACATATATTATTAATTTATTTAGATTGATTTAATGAAGAAAGTTAATACTCATCCTAACATTATTAAATTTTGGGGAATTACAAGACATTCTTCTGATATTTCTGGTACCATTTAAACGTAATTCGTCAATCAATGGTTCGTAACGTTTTTGTATTAATATCTTTTATTTTCTGCTTTTCAGATAAATTTGCTAAAAGTATGAGTTATTCTCTTGTACTTGAATATGCAGATAGTGGAACATTGAGAACATATTTAAAGATAAATTCTAGTACATTTAAATGGAAAGATCAATTGAAATTTGCCAAGGAAATTTCCGATGCAATTTCGTATTTGCACGATAATGGAATTTTACACCGGGACCTTGTAAGTTTATTAATTTATTATAATAATTTTGCCTAATATTAATTATAAAAATTTATATTTTAGCATTCTAACAATATATTAGTACATCAACATGCGATTAAACTTGCAGATTTTGGAATTTCACGTAGATTACAAGAATCAGTTCATTATACTAAACATTTAATTGGTGTTCTTCCTTATATGGATCCTATCACTTTTAATAAACTTGAAAGTTATAAATTAACAAAAAAGTATGATATATATAGCTTAGGCGTATTATTCTGGGAATTAACTAGTCGTTCACCTCCTTTCGATTCTGAGGAATTTACTCTAATAGATATTGTCAATGGTAAAAGAGAGAAGCCTATTCCAAATACAAATTCTAAATTTGTTGAACTTTATGAAAGTGAGTATAATCATTTTTAATTAAAATTTTATTTGCTTAAATTTCAAAATATAACCATTTATTTATTTCAATAGAATGTTGGCAATATGATCCAGATAAAAGACCAAATATTCGTCAAGTAATTTTAGAACTTAATAATATTGCTACGGAAAATACTTATGATATAAAAGTTGATAATGATAATATGGATATTGACGAAAAGCAATTGCATGAAGAAATGATTAATAATGAAGAAAATAATTTAGTGGTTCCAGACGGTAAATAGATATACTTTACAAAATTATAAATGCACTTAATTGTTCATTAATTTATAGCTTATATATTTTAGACTTAAATGGGTACACATTTAATAAGAATAACAGTTTTAACTACAGAAATTTATATATCCCACCCATTAGTAAAGTTATTATGCAAGGTTTAAATCAGGTAAATATGATTTTGATTTTGATTTGATACCTTTCTCCTGATTATAATGTTACTTTTATGATTATTATTATTTATTTTTTAATTTTAATAGAAAATCGATTTTTCAAATATCGATGCTCAAATTATTATTGGATCTAAAGTTTTTAATTTAAAATTTGATCGGATTAAATTTATTTATGAAGTTATTGAGAAAGCAATATCATTTCTAGACACTAAAGCGTTCAAATTTACAGATGATAGAGCTCAATTTTTACGAGATTTAATTCAGAAGGACAATACTTTAACTGAGGAAGAAAAGTTATTAGCTATTGAAATTACTGATCCGCCATATTTTTTTATAATTTTTACTATTAGGAAAGCCATATCGCTTTTGGATCCTAAAATTTATACTACTAATAGTGATAGACTTCGATTTTTACAAGATATTATTCAAGATGATGATATTTTAGCAGATAGTGAAAAGGCTACAGCTATCAAATTGACTAATTCAAAATTAGATCGAATTAATAAAATTTTTAAAGAAATGAAAACACCTTTAGATCCAGAAATACACAAAATTATGAATGAGATAACTCAACTCGTACACGATACAATTCAAAGGGACGATACACATCATGAATATGCAAATAGAGAATTTAAATGGGAAACTTTTAAGAGCAAAAGTTGTCAAAGTACTGATAATAATGATACAACGAATAGAGAAAGAGTGAAGATACCCCGTATCAATTTGAATCCGCAATATTATCATAATAAACCAGAAATGAATCCGCTATTTCCAGCCAACTACATGATATCTCAGAACGATAATGGAGTATCAGGTGCATCGAATATAATGACAAATGAGGCTGCATCAGAAATCTGTGTTATAGGAACGGTTACAACATTAAAAGGAGCATGTAGTTCAGCTCAAAATTTCGAAGCATTTATTCCCTTAATCTCAACATTTCTTAAACTAGGAGAAAAGATTATAAATTTATATGACAAAGCCAAACATAATAAAGAGTTATGTGGGCTCCTACTACAGAGAAGTAATGGTGCAATGGTTGCAGTAAGGGATCTAGATATGAGGAAAACGGAAAATGCGGAATTTTTTTCTAAACAAGAAAATTTAGAGATGTTTAAAAAATTCATTAGATGTATGGAAAAGATCAAGAAATTTATTTCACGTGTTAGCAAATTACACAGACTTATTAAATATTTTTGGGCCTGCAACATCGAACAGGATTTTACTGATCTCGTAGCAGAATTTGATGGGTATATGAGAAATTTAAATTTTTCCTTCATTGTACAATCTAGAGACGAGTTGGGAATAATAAAGAATCATGTAAGGCAGATCAAGGAGATATTAAACAACGTTTATGGTGTTAATGATCGTAACTATATAGAATATTTGAGGAATATGCATTCGATAACCGAGAAAATCATTGAATTTCAAAAACAATACAAATATAACATGAACATGAATTCATCTGAAGTTATAACTAGAGTGGAAAGAAATGAACCATTACTTGACCATAAAAATTATCAGAAAATCAATCATACGCGTTCAAAAAGAATTGAAAAACGCATATCAGTAGCTGATTGTACCGAGGTTTCATTTAAAGAATTTTCAAATGCCAATGCTGCTGTTCCTTCAAAAACCAATAATGAGCAAGCTCATAGTCACTATCCAGCCCAAGCTCCGATTCTAATTGAAATCAGAAAGGAGGTTAATATTCTAAAAGAATTAAAAGAATCTGATCATATTATAAGGTTTTTTGGTGTGGCTCAAGAAGGTTCCAAGTTTTATTTGGTTACTGAATGGATGGAACATGGAAATTTACATGAATATTATACAAATTTTAGAGAATTTATGAACTGGGAAACCAAAATTAGATTTGCTTTGGATATTTGTCGCGGTGTCGCGTATCTTCATGAATGTAAAGTAAGCAATTAAAATCGACGATATGTTATTTTTAATTATTTTATTTTATTTCATATGAAAAATAATTTAATTTAATTTTTTCTTTTTTTACAAAAAATTATAAACATTAGATCCTTCACCATGATATCCAGTCAGCAAATATCTTAGTAAATATTTATCACAAAGTCAGGATAGCAAATTTTGGTTTAAGCAAAAGGCTCTCGGATATTACTCGAAGTATTTCACATAATCTAGAAAATATAAGATATATGGCTCCGGAGAAATTATTCTTAGACAATGAAGTAAATAATAGTGATAATATAAAGAAAAGTATTTCTTACGATGCTAAGTGCGAAGTCTATAGGTAAATTATAATTTTTTAATTACAAGTCTCGCTAGGATTTTAACACTTAATTGTGTATTAGGAGATTAATTATTTTTTAAACTTTACTGACTTTTTTTTAAAAAAATATATATATTCTAGCGTTGGGGCATTATTGTGGGAAATTGCAGAATTAAAAAAACCTCATTCTGATCTTGATAAATCGGAAATACTTAATAGTGTTAGAAAACGTATACGAGAAAAATATTATGAACCATTTTCAAATGATGTTCCCTCTGAATGGAGGGATATAGTATCTAATGGTGAGTGAATATAATTGA